AAATGATGGCTAATTGAACAAGACTGTAATTTTAAACTCTTATTGTTCATAAAGCTAGAGAAGTGTATGATGTAGATATTGGGAGAGCTTACAAATAGTCTTACTAATAGTAGTAATGATAGTACTAATGATATTAATAATAATTAGTAGTAATAGTAGTGTGGTGTGTACTACTGATGTTGACAGATATACGTAGTATGCATCACCAATCGAAAGTGGAATGCCTAGTGGCAGAAGGTTGAGAAAATCGAAGAGAACGAGAACAGGGAGTGATTGATATAGAAACGAAGGAACAACAAAGTCTGAGACAGCTGATGGATATTTTGCAAATGAAGTATTTACTGTAAGGTTTTCAGATTTTACCAAGATATTCTATAATGTTTTATTAAAATACATTTGGTTGTCACCGCCTGTGTTCTTGTTCACTACAGTAATAGAAGTAGTTATAGTAGTATTAGTATTAATGCGAATGAAACCTATGAAAGAGCGAATCTGCACATTTCACTCGTCAATACTAAATATCTAATTAACTAATTTACATTTGAGCATAGCACTAGCATATTCAAAGGGAGCTGAATTACTCCTCTCCCCTTAAAAAACTTTTTGACTTGAACTTGATTCCACAAAATGTAGAATGAGCTTTCTTATTGTATTCGTTTTGAATGAATCTATGTTAAATAAAGGGTTGATAATCTAAAAAACAACAATACTGTATAGTTTATACCGTATAAAAATTTACCTAAACAAATAACTGTCCAGGGTAAACTTAAGAGTATCGGAAAACTGTTTCAGTTTTTCATATCACTTTTCCTGAGTATAATGTTTTTAAATTGTCTTTAAGGGTCAAACATGAGACTCTTAAGTCGAAGTGAGGAGCACAATAAATTTCAATCACTAAAACAGAACTAATTTCAATAAACCAAACGATAAACTTAAATTATCAAATAAAAAATGTGACTTTTAGATTTTCGCTTCATCTGAAGTGGGAGTGAAAAATATAAACTATTAAATTTTAACTTAGTAGTTTAAAAGTAAGAGGTACATTGAGTGACCTTAAGGTACTAGGTCTGATCACTAGTAGTAGGTTAGGTGAACACCTCTGAAGAGTCCCATTCAAGACGAAACATCTATCTTTCCAATGCTTCACGATTTTCAATGGTTATCCAACTAAAGTCAATCTATGCTGTGAAACTATGAAATTTCAATAATCTTCACAACCATCTGTATTAAAATATAAACTTTTTTTCAAGTAGATAAATTTACTTCATTGGTGATGTACTTTTAAAGTTCATATTCATATTATTCAGATAGATCAATAAATATTTTACGATAATGAAATATAACTGGATGAAAAAGCGATTGAAATTTGAAATGAGCTTTTTATTTAATGAAAGTTATCTCATTTTTCATAAGATCGTTTTGAATTTTTAACACATTCAGTATCTGCAGATAGGTAACAATCATTTTTGTCATTATAAAGTGTTTTCTGGAAGTTTCTCGAAGTACAAGGTCATGTTCTTTCTTTTCTGTACAAAAATAAACCTTAAGAGTAGAACTTCTCTCTTGCTTCATGTATTTTTTCCATTTTGAACTAAAGAGTGAAGGACTTTGAAAACCTAAAAGCAGTTAACAATTCGGTGTTAAAATACTCATAGATACAGACTATTAGAACCCTTAAAATGAAAGAAAACCAAACTATCTATTGCTCCTTAGTTTTCATTAATTATTTGGTTAAAATCATTGACTGATGAAAAGCATTCATGGCCTTTAACATTCGTAAAGACTTTTATGCTGTAATTATTTTTACTTCTTCTGGGTGCTTAACTGACTCATAATTAGTATTGAGAAACCTGAATCTGACGACGCTTAGAGAAAGCACAAAGACTGTTGATATGAATTTATTTGACCCCAGAAATAAATGAAAATGATTTATAAATACACCACTTTTTACAGGAATTATTTACAGTCGGAATTTATATAAACTGAATTCAGTAGAATTTGACATCATTTAATGGGCTTGTGGAAATTATCGAATTTCACTGAAATCATGAGCAGAATAATGTTAGCCCCTCACTGAATGACTATAGGTACTGGGTGACTATTTCGTAGAAGGATGGGACTGCAGAGGAGTCTCATACTAGAACGGGACGCTCGTCCTGGATTCTACAGTTACTACCATCCATCTCTGCTTAAAACAGTGAATTACGTTTGTTGAAGTTAATTAACATATAAGAATCACAGGATATTATTCATAAAATATTACGTTAAAACTGTTGATATAACGCGTAAAATTTTCCATGTGTAAATAAAAGGTAGGAGAGTGATCATTACTCAACGACCGAGTAATTGGAAAAATATCATTTGAATAAGTCACCCTCGTATTCGTAAGAGATTAATGAGAATACCTCTGATTGTGATAATCGTTACTGCAGATTATCATTCCTCACTTAATGGATGAGTATCAGTTTCATAAGATTCCAGAAACATCTATCTAGTAAGCACAGACCAACATGAAACTCTAGATTTACAGCTTTCTGAGAATATGCAATGTTATTTTATACCCGAGTTAAATAGAAATAAATAGAAATCACATTTTAAATATTTCATTATTGTTTAACCACAGGAATAGTTCCAAGTGGTGTCTACTTACACAGATTTCAGATTCTATTCCTAATAGGACATAAATTTGTACTCTGTTATTCTTTAGAGGAAATCACTCTCGAATTCAATTTAGTTTTAACTTTTTTGCAGTTTTATACATTATGGTTTTTTCTTTATATATATTTTGAATTTATATAATGAATAAATTTTTCTGTGATACCACTATTATCATTATAAGTAGTATTGTAGCAAATAAGAACACGAATGGGGTCAATCGAATGTACTTGAGCACAAAATTACAAAACATCTTACTAAAACCTGAGAATAATAGAGTAAATACTTAGTTTGCAAAATATCAATACACTGTCTCAAACCTGACTGTTTCTTTTGCAAACATAAGTCCATCGTCTCGGATTTCATTGTTCCTGCATTTTCATACCATTACATTTTTGTCCTTGTTCTTTCCTTTTCTATCCTCTGAAGAAATACAATCGTTCTATACTACTTATGTGGATATAAGTATCACACACCACAGTATTATAATTATTTCTACGAATAATCTGTCGATTTAATATAACTTGAAATACTAAATACATAATAATTTATAATAATAGTAATTAATTGTAGTTATAATATACATATTTTTGTAAAATGATACTTTTTTGGATAAGATAATCACAGTGATTAAACATATTCTATATTCTACTCATCTGTCCATTTATCTAATTGTCTGTCTATCTATCAACTAAAATATCTATCTAACTACCTATCTTTATATCTATGCCTCCATTCTGATTCCAATAATAATAATAATAATAATAATAATAATAATAATAATAATAATAATAATAATAATAATAATAATAATAATAATAATAATAATAATAATAATAATAATAATAATAATAAAACAGTCTGAATCGGTTAATTAAATTAAGAATAATTATGATTATCAATAACCTAGAGATAAGAACTATTATTCCTTATTAAATAATGAATATGTGCGTATGTTTATTATTGTACACACATATGTGCGTGTGTATATATGCATATTTAAGGATGAGATAATTAACATGATTTATCTTAGTCTCGTAATACAAAAAAAAGGGAACGAAGAAATTCAATTTCTTATATGCAGATGCATATGATGAAATTAACGAATTATATAAGCAGGATTGTTTGCATATAGTATATACATATATATTATATGTATATATTATTAAGCTTGATATAATCGTAGATTAGAATTAATGATGGTTTAGTGTATAAACGTGTACAGGCACAAGAAAGCAATTAAATTGATCGTGATAATGAGTATAAAAAGTGTGTATGTATGTATGTATGTATGTGTGTGTGTATGTGTACACACACTTATTGCAGATATACAATATATATAATATGTTATCTCTACCTATTTATTAAACTAACTTATCATTAGACGTTGTATTTTTTAAGAAGATAATTTCATTAAATGAGGTGCTATATGTATTTATAAACAAAAAAGAATCTTCCTTCTTTTTTAATGGATATCATTTAAATAATTGTGTGTAACCATTTCGAATCAATTAAGCATAATATACTTAAGTGATAGAAATAGAATTCTAATTGGTGTTCAGTCTGTAATTTAAAGATAACTATCAAATTAATTTGAAGGAAGTAAAAAAAATAATAATAAAGAAGAAATAAATGAATAAAAATTGAAGTAGACAAAATATTTTTGACCTTTTTAGCTTAATTTGAAGGTTCCAAAGGATTTATCAAAGCATATCTGAATTATGCGTTTAATTCCTTCAAAGATTGGAACCTACTAATATATATTTTCATATTGACTAGTTTACTATTCATGAAAAGGGATATTTGTGTTAAGTGTAGTGTTTTGATTATAGACAGGGATATCTTAACTGATTTTAGTCAATGTTGTGAACTATTTTTATGAATTTTCATAAACTACTCAATTAAACAATCATGTATCCACTAGTGATGAACTTTTTAATAAATTACCAAGGTTCTAGTGATTGATATAGTTCAATCAAGTTATTTATGTGATAATTATTATAGGATGATCGCCTGTCTATATCGCTGACTGATTAACATTGAAAATGTTAACCATTTATTAAACTTTGACTTCACAACTGTAGTTCAATGATCCTGATTTCAATCTCTTTTCATATTGTTTAGTGGATAGTTTTGATATTTATTTAGCGATATATATTTTTGAATTGTTCCCATATTGAAATCAGCACATAAGTTCATATATCATTTAATTTTAAGTACTTAGTAAGTTGATAAATGCTATGAGAATGATTCAGTAAGATATTTATCACCAGAAAATTACTTTAACTTAACAATAACATGATTATAAAAAGAGAACATTTGTTCTCTTAGCCTAGCATCATCTCATGATGGCTATGACTAGAAGTCATCGAGAAAAAATCAACATGAAATCAAATAACGTTACAAAGCATTTTGTAAGTAATCGGTTCAAACTAAATTGTCTCATCTACTTCTTTGTTGAGTAACCCTTTTCGAATTGATAGTATTTGTCACAGATTAATCTGAGTTGTAATATTATTGAAACTAGGAAGTATTAGGTTCTTTTTTTAACTTATATGGAGCTTTTTAGCAATGTACACTGACAGCCGCATAAGGATTGGAAAACAAAAGGAAATATGAAAACAGTTTTACGTGAAACCATATGTAGGCTATTATCAATTATCACTAATTAAAAAGAAGTATTAGGAAACTATCTCCTTCGTCAGGAACATTTTAAATTTAATCGTTTTGATCGGTCTACATCCAACCTTGATTTATGCTCGACCAGTCAGCGTTAATCACGCAACTATTCACGATGTATTATAATTGTAAGTTAATTAATAAGAATATATATAAATAGTTGTATTTGAGCTAAATAAACATAATTTGTTTTCACAATCAATAACTAATTCATTATTCTTTTGATATTTCTACAGTTCAGTTAGGTCTAGGGTACAAGGACTGGGTAAGATAGAAGAAGAGTAAAATCATATTCATTATCAAATTATTTCATTCAATGGAATCCATTTTGTGATTACTAGTGCAACAATCTACTCGGTCATATCAATTAGGAAGGGTAAAAATTATTTATAAAAATTATTATCCGAAATGGATTAATTTTTAATTTCTGGTTGCTTATCTATCAGGTGAATAGTTATTAGGGAGTATGAGGGAGAGAACACGTAAATTAGCGACAATAATATTTCAGTAATAATAATAATAATAGTTAACCATTAGGTTAGTGAGTTCAATTTAAACAGGCATCTATGATACACATATTACACTAGGGGGAATAATAACGAATATGGTAGAGGAGAAATTAATATCTCATGGGATTACTTATTATTAGTGAATAAAATATCAATAATTTTTGCTAATTCAATAAAATAAGATGGTTCAGCAGTTTTCTGGGTTGCTTTTCAGAAGAAGAAGAAAAAAAACTAATAAATTAAATTTTACTTCGTCAATAAAATTAAGGTAAATTCCATTGTTGTTGACAGTGCCAAGGTTAGATTCTTACGTTCAAATTAATTTATCAATACCACTAACTAGTCAGTTATAAGCAACATAGAGAGTGGAGTATATGTACGTTGCCTCTAATTAGTCATTATCGAATTGATATAATGAAATGAAATTAACAATATGAAAAACAAGTAATTCTAAATAATCTCAGGAACAATGATGATGATAAAGACTAAAAATGGAGAATATAGCTTAGAAAGATAGAATAAAAAGGTGCGTATGAAGGAATACTAGAATTCAAAGTGTATAAGAAGACACAGAATAAATTCATATGTACAGTTTTAGTCGATTTTAAGACATATAACTCAATGTTTTCAACTACTCATTGTGATTATCATACAAATTTGAACCACGTAGTCTGGGTTTGCTAAAAGATTTGAACAAACGTTCAATTACTTTATTGACGCATATGTCTGTTTTTTGATATGCCGATTCTAGTGTTTTCCCAACTGAATCTTATGCTACCTAATATCGCTCGTTTAAGTAAGCGGTGGTTAGGCATTTTTAATACTTTTCCTAACCAAATCAGTCGAAAAAGATTCACAACCTTATTAACTAATTTATCATATTTATTAACTTACTAGAAGGGAATAAAGAGCGATTCAACAAATAAACAGTGGAAAATAAATTTTCGAATAATTTCCCGTTCATTTTATGTGTACAGTTTCACTAAGAACTTCATTTTGATAATCTAAGGCTATCTACAAATGTCTTCTGTGAACATGTTACTATAGAGTATCTCAACTTACCAAATTAAGAAATAAATAAAATGAAAGTTAGGGCTTGAAACAAAATCTTCAGTGAATATTATGAAACATTATGAAGCATTCATTCACTAAATAAACAAAAAGAATAGCTTGATGTTGCACAAATATTAGACATTCAGAAAAATATGGACTGGAAATTCTCAAACATATCCAATACCATAACTTGAATAAAAGAATTAATTAGATGTAATGTTTGGCCTAATAGTTTGTTGTTGTATAATACTACTTTACCAATTGAGAATTAATTGTGTCAGTGTATATACTTGAAAAAAAACACAATAAAATATTTACATTTCATAATCTCTAACAAATCATCAATATCATGTTTTTCTTGTCTTTTAATATTGGTTAAATTTTATAGGTCAGGTTGTACTGCAGTCATTGGTCCGGGTGATTTGACATTGTATGCATTACATTGATACGTTAGATGGTTGAATGTAATCGACAGGAAGTCTTGTTCAACCTAGACTCCTCGCTAGTCGATATTTTTCATTAAGGTTTATCTTCAGCCCTGAGAAAATTTTTGGTTGGTGTGAAGTTTAATTAGTCATTGCTCAGTCTCACAATCTGAGATAATTATATATATAGGAATTGGTTGGTCTCCTGTAGGAATAAGATATTTGTATTGATTTATTACTGAGCATCATATGTGTCTAAAGTACCGTGGTATAAAGTGTTTATAAATATATTGTACCATTTACTAATCGCTTTTACGGTAATATGACTTGATGTACTAATTAAATGGAGTGTTTTTTCAAAAAATTAATTCCTTCATACTGTTATAATTAATCACTTCCCCGCGAATCGTAGGATAAATTTAAATTAAACTTACAAAATGATAATGTTAGCTAGACAGAAATCTAGTTGAATACCTGAAGATTTTTTTTACACATTTTCAATATTTCTTCACTATCATGTCATTTATTGTTCAGATACAATACAATTAATCAAAGTTATACAATTAATGATGAATAAGTTGACTGGTTTATCTCATTAAAGAATTAAGTTAAACTTTTACACTCTGATAGTCATCACAAGTGTATATTGAATAAGAAAGACACCAATATCAACAACAGTGGTAATCTATCACTGTATTGAATGTTATATATATATTGTATATATTGTATACAAATGAAATAGTGAGTTATTTTGTCAGTTTGATCATTTTCTTATAACTCTAGGTGGACTTTACACGAGAATAAGATATTTTTTAAAATAATCACTGTAACTTAACACAAATTATGATTATCATCTTACAATTTGAGAATCTTCAACCTCTGTTAAAAAATGAACGGTTAAGTCACAGGTTTAATATCGGTTACATCGAGAATTGGACTTAGTTGAACAACTATTAGGAACTAGGGAGCCCTGGACATTTACTTCGTCCTAATATGAGACTAATCAGAAGTTGGATATTCACGATCCATACAAGGAGTCGAACTTAGGTCTTTCAGATCTCACGACGAATGCCTAATCATTTAAACTATTGACTTGGCATCCATTAGTTTACATTTGTAACTTCAGTTGTTTCGTGATATTGAATAACCATATTTTACTACTAATGATGGAAAGTTGCCTGTTCAGTCATTCCTAGTCTTCAATAGCTGTTTAGGGTCAGTCTGTTACTTAAATTATAAAATTCAACAATTTCACTAACTCTTTACGTTACTAAAGTACAGTAGTTAATGAATGGTTGTCGTAACATTAAATGATTAAATTACCATTTTGAAAATTTCCCCTTAGATTGAACATGTGAATACCTACCGGTACGTAAACACAACTAATTCTCGTTTTATAAGCAACAATAAATGTTGATCTCTAGGAAGTGGTATCTCTGTTGGACTCTTACGAAGCATTCATAAAGCAACTATCATTTTTGAAAAATATCTCATAAACTTCTAATCATTCAACTTAACATTATTATAAATAGATTAGCTTATAATACTTATATTTCCAAGCGAATTATGAACTTATAATTAACATTATTGCTTATTATTACAAGTATTGGTAGTAGTAGAAGGTTAATAATTTCCGGTAAATATAAAAAAAAACTATTCAAGCTTTTTTCCGGTATATATTTTTTCCTAATAATAATAATACTAGTAATAATAATAATAACAAAACTATTATTATTGGTAGTAGTATCAATATTAACTCATCAATCTATCTTCCTATTCATACTTCCTTCTATCGAGTTTTTTTTTATAAATATTTTCATTTTACAAAGGTCAACATTCATTGTTTAACATTTGTGTATACTTATGTAAGTAGATATGTTGACATACATATTATTTAACATTGAACAATTTATTGTTTTACTAAAGTAACATAATTTCATTTAAAAAGAATTCGAATAGAATATTGTCTCTTTTTATTTGATTTATAAATAAAATTTCTAATATTGTTATTGAATATTCTTTACTTTATGTTATGATATCATCCTTATTATTATTATTATTATTACTACTACTACTGTTATTGTTAATAATAACAGTAGTATGTTTATAAATACAAGAAATATATATATGTATATATCTGTAATATCATTTCCTTTCAATTTCATTGAACATTAAAATATAATTCGCTTTGAACACAAAATTATATCAAAAAGATTTTTTTTTCATGATGAAAATATTGTAGAAAATATTTCATAAATTTTTTTAAAATTTTAAGTAATGTTGTAAATGATTTTTTATTGTTCCTGGAAACGCGTTCAGATGCACACACACACACACACACAACATTTTAATACATTTATCTAATCAGTTTTTTTTTGTTTTAGTTATCAACTTATATATGGAATCCTTTTTTCTCTCGCAAATTTGAATGGCGGTATTAATTTTTATAATTACAATCAGTAAATAGATTGACTACAATCAGATATAGGGGAAGTATTTATCAAAAAATTGCAGATAAGGGACTATGCTTATAGTATGTAATCAGGAGAAGTACAATTTAATGACTGATTGAAGGGTAAACCTGACACTAGCAGCCTAAGTAGCTTTACTGACAAAAGTTTTTATTTGAAATTTCTTCAGTTAAAATGTTCATAGTTAGACTTGCAATATACGGTCATTGCATGATCCTAGTTTTGATAGTAATCAAAACTAGTATATATTTGGTGTAGTGGCTGTAAGGCTTTCCAACCGTATTTGTGGTAAATATATGCGGATGGATTGATGAATTTGTTTTACTGACTTTTTTGCAAACTTCCAGATGTCCTTAAATGGTGGTCTAGTGCGAATGAGGTTTTAACTTGGGAAAAATTTGAGTATTCCAAGTAGGTCTTTGCGTCTAGAAGTTCTTGCATGGAATAATGAAATAGAACTTCGGCTCTGTTTTGTTGTTCTTCTGTAAAGAAACAATTATTAAATGGGATAGACATGAGTATGTTTTAGAGGCGAAATTCCATGATCACCGCTACACAAATTACAATGAAAACACTTATCATTATTAGTTCTCATCGCCGAGAGCGAAATTTGGTGTTTATATGATAATCAGATACTATCTTAACTGTGCTTGTGGCTCTTCTAGAGTTACTCCCGGTCCCATGCCCGGGTTAAAGGGGAGGGCTGGGCGTGGAGTCAACAACCCCGTCCCGTCGAATAAATCTTGCTAAAAACACCAGCCAGATTAAACAAATTAAGCAATTTAAGGAAGAACTATGATGCTTCTTGGTGAAAGCCGAGATTCTTCGGAAGTCACGAAACAGATGCCCCTTCTGATAAACGGAGCAACAATTTTTATGGGTACATGGAACTTCCGGACAATGTGGAAGATCGAGAGGGCTAGTCGAATAGGAGACACTATCTTAGTTCTGGTCAAAAATGATGGAGACTGATGATAGGCGTTGCGTTAACAACTAACATAGATGGATATTCAAGGAAAACGTCTAAGATTTTTACTCCTGCGAAGTAGCGCAGAAAATTGATACCTTGAAGGATTAGCAGAATGATAATATGAAAAGTGGATAATAATGTTTAATTCGAAGTAAGGAATCGTCGTAAATCAGGAAGAAAACATGCTATTTTGAGACCTCTTAAAAATATCATCATCACCACGACGTTGGAATTTTATCAAGAATTTTTTAAAGTTGAACTATTGCATTTCATTCAAATACTTCAAGGTTGAAGTGTTCAAAGTAGGATTAAGAAATTCAGGCATCAATCCTTAAGGTAGTCATCGGTTCTATACTAGTCAGAAATTTTTAAAAGGAACAAAATAAATGTTCACTATATTCTAAATTTCAACGTCATTTCATATAATATCACTTAATGTTTCATAATGAATTAGTCAATGGAATCCAATTAATCAAAAATATTTATTTATTTCACCCAATCGCACAATCAGGTGGCTATCAGGACTCAGTAGCTAAGTAGATAACGTGATAACGTTTGAAGCGAACGGTACTGAGTTCTAACCTCGGAATGAAAATGAACTCTGGAATGCAGATACATTCAGCTGACGCGTCCCAAATGGAACGAAATGCGCGTCCTGGATTTCATTGCTAGCCATTATTCATTTTTGCTTATACTACTTGTGAATATCGAGTCGAAGCGTACAGGATATACATATGCCAATATGAGACTAATCAACTGTAGTCCTAAATAACAATAGGAAGATACAAGTAAAACAAGATCAAATATTTAGGTGTTGTGGAGATTGTTAAGTTTTTTATTGAAATCATGAGTCAGTTGAAGCTAGACCATCACGGAAAACCTGAAAGCACTGGACGGCCGTTTCGTCTCAGTATGGGGCTCCTCAGCAGTGCACATCCACAATCCCGCCTTGTGAGGTTCGAGGCCAGGACCTATCAGTCTCGCGCCACGCGCTTAACTAACTAGACCACTGGGCCGGCATCCAACGGTGTTAATATCTAACCTCAACCAATCCACGAAATTGCGCGACCATCTTCCATTGTACTGAGGTAAACACCTGTTTCTGCCCGACACGGATTAGCTCCACTAGTCACGGCTTCTCACCAGAACTCCGAGAATTTTCTCACAAAACTAGTCACTAATGAGCACATGGTAATTATCAGTTTAGGTGTTGTGGAGATTGTTAAGTTTTTGATTGAAATCATGAGTCAAATCCATCAAATGTATTCAAAAATATATTTATTCCTTAATATTATATTATATTGAAAAATTTTACAGGAAAAATATCAACCTCAATTATATGTAACAAGTATTTTTAATCATACTATAATTAAAAAATTAATTCCATCATCCAATACATCTAGTGAACCTACAATGAATACATCAAAATTACAAAATGTTAAATGTTCAATATCTGACTCTTATTCATTATTGAATAATAACTTTATTAATAATAATAATACATCATTGATGCCTGATTATAATTTAACACTATCAAATGATTGGTCATATTTTTTAAAAATAAATCTTGAAAATTATATTGATAAAGCATATTTATTTAATATGACTTTAATACCACAATTTAAATTACATGGTAACATAAAATCAATAAAACATTTACATAATTGTTATGAACCATATTCTATAAATCAATTACAACTAATTGGTCACTATCATAATCCAAATAATATTGATGATGATAAATTAAATGTTAATTATATAAAAGAGTATTCTATCAGAAATATACCTAATCAAAAAGATTGTGAAAAATTATGTTGGGCAATTCGACAACCATATTTATATAAAAATGGTGGATTATGGTTATGGGATAAAAAGTAAGTACAAAACTATGAATAGTAAATTTTTATTATATTATGAATTAATTTTAGTTAGACATTTATTAAAAGTATGGAAATAATAGATGACTGTTTCATTCTAGTATGAGACTCCACAGTGATAAGTATACACAACCTCATCGAATGAAATGGAACCTGAGACCTTTAGTCTCAATTGTGCTTTCAGGTTCTCACTGGTGGTTTGGTGACTTAATCTAGAAAAATTCTACAGTCTTCATAAATCCTCCCTATTTCGATAAAAGTTCAGTGTTCCTTGGGACTAGAATGTTACTTGATAGATAATTGAAAACAAGTAATCCCCTTAAGCTAATTAGTGTTCCATTATCAAATGAAATACTATAAATGTGGTAAAATTTCATTGAATAGTAAGTTCATTCAGAACTATTAATTGTTACTTTACCGTCATGGAAAACCTGAAAGCACTGGACAGCCGTTTTGTCCTAGTATGGGACTCCTCGGTGGTGAGCATCCACGTTCCCACCTCGCGAGATTCGAACCGGGGACCTATCTGTACTGCATGTGAACACCTAGCCTCTAGAGCACTGAGCCGGCATCCAATGGTGCTAATGTCTAACCTCAACTCATCCACGAAATTGAGTGACACATCCACCGTTGTCTTCAGTGGGATACTATCTCACAACAGATACACAAAACCCCTTCTGATACAAATATCAAATAGTTGATAATTGAAGTTATCATGAATAAGTTATGTGATGTACAAATTTTTTCCTAAAAATTTAACGTACACCAAATGTTATCACTATTTACAAATAATTGATTATTGAATTGTGACCAATTTTTTGTTTGTCTAGTCGATAGCGCTAATTAAATTCTGCTTATCAACAAGTTGCTGTCCGACTACTAATCTAAGTGGCTCGACATCGTGTGTGATGCATCTTGATAACAGGTGGTTAAAGGCATTCAGTAGGAAAATTTACTCCACTAAGATTTTGTGCCAATTAACACTTGCCAGAGAAGTTTATCCGCAATAATGAAGGGACTTATACTCTTACAGAAGTTCAGTCGAAATTCGGACAACTTAGTGTTAACGTTTCAAACCGTGAAGTCGGATTACACAGCATCAGGTCAGTCGGGTAGCATCATTTCCCTTAAGATTACAAGTACGCCTTGTTGAAGAGTGTCAGGTAACAAGAAACCCAGTTTGAGGTTTTCTTAGTGACTGATTCTAAACACCTATTATTAAAACATATTACACTAGGTCATCAATTCATTTAAACTAATACCAATAATGTAACATGTTGATTTATAGAATTCGATTGGTATTAGGGGACTTGACCAATATGACATTTGTCACCACCCAGTAATCAATCAGTTATTCAAATACACCTAAATAATTGGTACTTTTATTTTACATCACATAGATCCTACAAATTGTTTGTAAAACTTGAGCATAATGTTTCTTCGACATTATGGTTTTGTAAATATAACAGTTCAGCAATTTTTCTTATTTCCTTTACTAACGACTAGATAAACAACATAATGGTCACAAATCAGTGATCAATCATTAGGTTCGAGTATACATGAACTGAATAATTAACATATATATAAAGTTAGTAAACACTCTAAAATTACATACAAACGTACATGTAAACATTCACAAAAATACTAATACATACCATTATACATTATTTAATGTAATAAGAAGACGAAGATTATCAGAACTATGTTTTTACACTTAAGGTTAACCTAATAGTATATACAGGGAGTCTTCTTTTGAGGATGATGATGTCACAGGTATTCAGTGTTTGACAACGCTTCTACCAGTAACACCTTCTAATGTATTTCGTTCCCACCCAGAGAAATCAAAAGACAGAGTCGAGGAGATCGGAAGAGTATATTTGGCGATGACCAATATATCGGAATTCTCTGATCTAATCTGGCTAGCGATTGCGGTTGGTGTTGAGCACGACGTTACCACACGTGATCTGGTGCGGATGCCTGACCGAGCGCCTTCAGCTAGGTGAGTCCACTAAAACATATGGTCAGCATCCAATGTCGAAAACTTAGTGCTATTTATTTTGGGGATTTATTTACCGCTACAAGGAATTTAAAGCAACTGGTCCATTTGATGAATTTCGATAATGTAGTTCTGACAATATTCGTCTTCTTATTACATTATCGAAATTTATCAAGGGGACTAATTGCTTTATGCATTATTTAATATGTAGTCAAATGTTATATTTTTTAGTTAATTTTGAAATTGTTTGTTCCTGTGAAATTTGACACATACCATTTAGTCATACATAACATTACTTCTGTTATGGTTATTATTTTTGAAGTAATTATCACAACAGTCGCTTTTTTAAAAAAGTACAATCTAAATAGAATTATCCTATTCATTCTTTATGTAATGAGTATTCACATATGTGTTATGTGTAAGTGTGGTGGTCTATGCATAATTTATGTAACTTAAAACTCATTAGTTTCTGACAAATTATAATCAATACATACAAGCATGAATTAATTATATATAGTTAGACACATATTTATGCACTCAAATACCCATGTATACGTTTACATGAATACACACATACAGATGTACATATTTCTATAATAACCAAAAGATGATACATGCAATGTAACACTGAAACTGGGATTAACTAGTTTTTTTTTTTTAAGATTAAGAGAATTAATTTTGTTTATTTGAACGTGAATTATTATTGAACATGACTTTTATTTTCATTGAAAATAATAACAATGGTACTTTGTTTATTTATTCAAAGGGTTAATTGTATCACACCATTACTACTAACATTATGTTAGTGATAGACTCACTAATCCTATGTTAGTTACATTAATTGTTTTATTATAAAAATATGATTATGATAAGTACTATAATTAAACAAGTAAACTCCCACCTAATTATTCTCATAAACCTACTGGTTCAGGCAATGTTAAATAGAAATCCATAGTTATTCACTGTTCGAATTATATCATTAATCCTTTCTCTTTCCATTGTGTCCGCTTCCCTAACCTTTATATCATAGTCAAGTAAATCAGTGTTACCTTCCATCAGATTACCATAATAATGATAATATTAGAAACATTTATGATAAATATAAACAAATGTTTTGTGTAGAGTGAAAAAAGAGATTTTTTCCCTTAAAAACAAAACAATTAACTAGATTAATCAAAAAGGTATTAAATTAAATGTTTTTATAAATAGAATTAAACAATAATACTGTTAATATTGATGATAAATAATAAACAAACACTCGTCCATTATTATTATTATTTTCTCTTTTGTAAATAGAGAAAAATTAAGTTTTAAACTTCTATGTTTTAGTAATAATAAATCATTTGAAAAAAATAATAAATATGGGATGATAATGGCAATGTTTACTCAATGGGATGTTGAGACTATTCATTAAATTAAATAATAAATATAGTTTGTAGGAAAATTTCGATTAACAGAAGTGGAGATTTGTGCAGTCAAAAATATTATTATTATTATTATTATTATTATGTAACTTGAGAAGAAGCGTGTGCTAGAGGGAGATCATATTTACTTTTTTTTTATTGACAAAACAGAGTTAAAGTTTTCTGATAAAATTATTATTACTTAATAGATAATTTATGAGTGTATTTTATTGTATGTGTCTGTATGTGTTCATACTGTAGAGAATAAGAGAGAGAGAGAGAGAGAGAGAGAGTAAGAGATAGAAAATAATTACAAAAGTGTATAGTTTAAAGTAAATAAAAAGACTATTCTACATTTATATAGAATGAAAGGGAGTCTATGATGATTCGAATAATGCTTCATTCATTCATTTGTTTTGTTTGTTTGTTTATGCAAACAATACACATAACACACACATTTATCGTTGAGAGTAAATATATCACTTTAACGACAACAAACTAATATAATACATTAGAATTATGCCTGAGAGAAAGCATAATAAATAGATCACACTTGAAATATCAACTCTTTTTCTCATTTATATGATATAAAAGTTAATGAGTTTCGATCGTAATTAAACATAATTATACTGCATAATAATAATTATTATTATTAATATTATTAAAATATCTCAATTTCCCTTACTCCACCTCAAACATCATTATTTGTACGTATTTAAATAAAAACACATGCATTTAGTTAGTAGTTCTGTCAGAAAATGATTTTTTTTTCTCTTCTTTTAGAAAGCAGCACTAATAATAATAATCATTAATAATAATGATAATAATAATAACACAATGATAGTTACAAACATCCCCTCTCCATTCTATCTATATAAAGTATACTCTTTCATTCTCTGTCATTTTCTAGCTTAATCGAATAAAATATTCGGAAATTATAAATTTCATATTAATATGAATTAGTTTTTTTTTATAAAACAAACAAACAACCAACCAACAACGACAATGTACAAACTAACTAACAAGGTAATAATCATAATAACATAGAGAATTATTTCGACAATAACATATACAAAATGAATAAATGAGTGAATAGATGAAGTATTTCGTGAATTATTTTCACTTTAATCGAATCTCAACACAACAACAAAATTTTGTTTTTTCCCCTTCTTAATTATATATGAATTTTTAACATTTTCTCTAATAAGAATAGAGAAAATAATAAATTTCATTTATTCACTCACTCACTCCCCCCCTCTTTCTCTTTTTATTTTTTTTTATGATTATTAATTTTAGGAAAATAGAAAATTTGAAATTGAACACGCATTTAGTTTTAATTGCAATTTTTTGTATGTATCTAAGTGTGTTTGTGCATATATGTGTGTGTATGTGTGTGTCTGTGTACCTGTGTATATATTCGTCTATTTCTATGTATGTATGTGTTTATAGGATTGGCAAAAAATTAGTTTGGATAATTATTATTATATTTATGATTCTTTGTGTTAATGACGTTTTTAAATGAAAAATTATTAAATTATTTGCAAATGATTCAATATATCCCCCTTTTTTTTGTTGTTGAAAATTCTATATTTAATTATAAATTTGAAAAAACGGATATAATTTTAATTTATAGAATATACAATTAGTAATAATTATTATAATAATAATAATAATAATAATAATTATTATTATTATTATAGTTCTCTCATATTCACTTATCTATACTATAAATGTTAATATGAATAGATTAATCAATATTGTAGTAATCATGGAGTTTATTACACAATGATCAAATTATTTTAGAATGTAACTTGGCACTCTTCAATAATTCTGTGTCTAGTACTTGTGTGTATATGTGCGTGGTTATATATCTATATACTAACTGACATTCATATTGAATATATATGGGATGAATGAATGAAAGATTGTGCTGACAACTTTCCTACAAAAAAAGCCGTTGTTGTTGTTATATCTACAATTTGTAATGAACAATAATTCATATTCATTTTAATATGATAGATATATGATGAGATTCTATCAGAAGTTTACTTTTAAAATAGATTACATAGTTCTTTGTAATTTTAATCAGTAACACAATTTAACTGTTATTAAACAAGTATGATGATAAAAAGAAAGTGTTTTAATAGTTTGAGAGCCATCAAGAGTCAGCAAATATGATTCATACAAAGAATTAGGACATAAACTTTTGGGTACACATTCATTACCTGACCTTTAAATAAGTGCATTGTAATTAAATGATCTAGATTTTTAAATTCAATGATACTTCAAACTATATTGGTTAAATGCAAGAAAGACTAATCGATAAGATGCGATTAAACAACTTGAGTGAGGTGATAAAATGAATATCATATGTTAGTATGGAGAGTTTGTAGAAATGGTTAAATTTCATAGTTTACATCATGAAATGATCTTATTTAGGTAACCATTAAAAATAACAAAGTATTAGAAAGACAGACGTTTCATCTTAGAATAAGACTTCTTAACAATGTATATCTAGGACACTATTGACAACTGGACTTTGAGCCTTCAATTTTGGCGTAGAGCATTTGATCTTTAAGTCACTTAGTCAACATCCAGTGATTTATATTTCTAACTTCAGTTGGTTTGTGGTATACCACAACCATCTTCCAGGGTTATGATTTAGTAAATGTCTTATATACGAATATGGTTGAATGTCACTAGAGCTTAGGTCTTAGTCTCAATTCTTGGTGTGATCGTAACTGTGAACTACTGAGTAGTCTCATGGAGTTTTCCTGAAAAATAACTTTCTTTTAGGTACTTCTTGGTTTAAACAGTTGAGTAATTTTAATCAGTTCGTTGATGTAGACCGTAAAAGACTGAATTACCGTTCAACATTTAGGGATTTTTAGTGTTTTTTCTTCATAGAAATTAAAATCTGATTAAATCTACTTTACAAAAAGTCAAAATACATTGAGCTAATGAACAAAGTAAAACGGGAAATATTTTTCACAGGAAACCCAGTATCTATTGTTGCGTTTTCAACAGTATTATTAATAAAAATTCACAATTCTATTTCCGTATATTTTTCACTCTGATTACCATAGTTCCCTAATATATCATTAGAATAACAGAAGAGTAATACTTTGGATGATTATTGCTTGTATAACTCATGTGATTATGCAAATAAAGTAAGTGTGAAATTTTTAAAAGATGGGAGTAACGAATTTACATTCAACTGACTATAGCTTTGTAATTGATAAAATAATATCAGTTATATTGGTTACAAAATAAGACAGTACTAAACAAGTACTTCATTATTACCTCATACTACTTATAACCACTATTTACAATCAAAATATCGTTCATAAACACTTATTAGCTATTCAAGTTTAATCCTAGGAGGGTTGTAGTAGATATTTGAGAGAAATAAAAAAATTCCTACGTTTCATCGTATGAAGAAGAACATTGCTATTTACAAAACTTGAATACCCTTTATGAAAATTGTCTTTATTTTTCTTATCCAAGGTACAGAATACTTTACGCTGATTGCAATCAAACTTTAATGGCCATCGAACAAAGTGGCGTAAATGAAATCAATTTGAACACTTTCACAGCAACGCGCCTACAAAGACCAAGTGAAGAATATTTGAGATCTGAAGAAGGACTACATTTTGTCATGTTAATTGGGTTTCATAGACAGGATCGAGAACAAGCCAAATGTAATGCTGCCATAATGGGTGTGATGGATTTATTAAGGAAAAAATTGACACCATATAGCATGTAGTAATTTTTTTCACCTAAAAGGTTTAACTACTACCTTGTTTATTCAGTAGTATGCTTTGTTACAAGAAATGTAAGTTGAAATAATTAGCTTAATATCCGATCGAGCTAGTGATGTGATAAGGAAGTGAAATGTGTGATTGAGAAGTAACTTTTTCTAGTTCAGAACCAAAACACCTGTTTTATGTCTTGATTTATCTTCACCATTTATTTAAGACAATTTATCTAGTTGGGTTTTTTTATTAAGGTTTTTTGTTATGGGACCGGACTGTTAACCCCATGCCTAAACTTCTTCAATTACTTGGGTTTTGGACCGGCTGTAACCATAGAACGGCCGCAGGCGGAGTTATTTAAGAACTACAAAAAGTAAATCCAATCGGGCATCAAAATATTAATCAAGTAAAAGGATATATTACCTTTGTAAAGAAAGTGATAAGTTTAGTATGATAGTTATATGCATTCAGACTTTACGAATATAGCATTTAGATATTTTCAAGAATACACTGTATTCTTGAAAACTTACAGCCAGACTAACTTCGAATCAGTTATGTTGGTGAGATGAATATATGCTACTCTGAGTTATAACATTAGGCAATAGACTTCATTGGAATATTACGAATATATTCATTGTTAAAGCATTTGAAGTTTATGTGATTCTGAGATGTGACCGATTCTATTGTAACCTTCATTGCCTTCTATAAGATCACAAACCGAAGCATGCTGTCGTTTAACAGGCAAGTCCTCACACAGTAAATTTAAGATATTCAAGTTATAAACTTGTGGTTTAAATAACACTGGTTTACGCACAAACTTGTAACATTCAACCATATCAGATGTGTGATAAATATTATCAGTAGCTATGAATGACATTTGCACAAAATATCTAGAATTAATGAAAGTGAGAAATATAAACAATCGATTATCGACTCGATAGTGTAAAATTTTAACTCTTCTCATAAGTTTTGCAAATCACCGATTTGGTTCCTAATGGGTGTGCATTCCCAGAAAAGTTTAATGTTTTCTGGTTGTTAGTAGTGATATCACGCAAGTTAGCCTGTGATACAAACTATGAAATCCAACAATTTCCATAACACTGATAAATTCGATCCTAGATTTAATCACACATTTTCCTTATGAATGTATTCTTTAAAGTGATAATTATCATAGGTAATTCTATGTGAACCTGTATTATAAGAATGGTCTTAATCAATCCAACTTTAGTTTCTACAATAGATGGATTGTAGCTAACAGTAGAATCCAAGAGGAGCGTTATGTAGGATTTGGAATATTTTAAACTATTACTAGCAATGATTTAAACATTTAAATTTTTAAAAATATGTCAGGTAATATTTCTTGTCCCTCGTTAATCAAGATGGTTCAATGTTCATTGAATTGTTTATTAACAGTTACAAGTTAATTATTCATTTTAATACATAAAACTTACATTAAAATGATTAATTCTATATGATTTTATCTTTTATGATAAAAAGTATAGGTTATTATTCACTGAAATAAAAATTAGATAGTTATGAAGTCTTTAATTGGATGCGCACTGCAGAGGAGTCGCGCAATAGGACGAAACGGCCATCCAGTGCTTTCGGGTCTAGCTTTAATTGACTCATGATCTTAACTATTAAAATTACTATAATATCCACAAAAAAACCCTTCTGATATTAAATAAATTTCATTACATGTTATTTGTATATCGAATATCGTACATTCATCAACATGTTTGATTTGAGATGAATACAGTTTCACTGGAACGATTTATCCTTAATGTTATAACACTCGGCTTTCCACGTCTACATGGATAGGACGTTAACTTGCTTCAGAAGGATATCTACACTAGATTCCCTCCCAGCGTCTATTTTACAGGATTTCAACACAGCTCATATCAAGAACATGTGATTAGCCTGACTAGAACGTGAATATATTTCCACACCAAAAAAGTCGACACAATCCAACAACAGTCGAAAATAATAAGAATATGGATAGGAGAATATATATCTCATCTAACGTTTGTAAAGCTATCTACAAGTCTGACTAAACAAACAACCAATCATTATCATTCTCGTCCACACATCACTTAACATTATGATAATATTGAAACGGAATGGTTGTTGATTGTTGACTTATTCACCAAAATACAGATTTTGTTTTGAACTGAGATTTGTAATACTGATGATTAAATAGTTGAAAACACTCCGTTTTTAACTAATAGGATAGCAGTTCGGTAAAAATATAGTGTAAAGTCGATCAGAATTGGGTAAACGATTAACAAATTTTGCGTTAAATTCAAAAATGTAAGATTTTATATGTCACATGAAACAATCAACGGAAATAACTTTTTTTGCATAGTGTTTAAAACTTTAACCAGGAACAGTTAGGAGACACCTAGAAAACTATTTTCGGCCACATAACAGCTTTAGAAAAACGGGTGTTTTCTAGTCATAAGGATAGATTTGTATGTTGTTGTTTCTCAATTTACAGAAAAACCAATAGGAATCTTCAATAAATTTATTCATCATGTAAAGGTATAAGTATACTTTACTGACGATCATCAGAGACTTGAAATGACCATAAGTTAATCCTAATTTCTGCCTTATCCGAATGTAGCTGATACAAATTAGTAATTCATAGTTTAAAATTTCCCTATAAGGTTAGGAATAAATTGAAGAATATTATGTAGATAATTAGATGAATACTTAGGGAGTTAGTTATTTTATTTTAAGCATCAGGAGTATTTAAGTTACTTCCGAAAAGTTATAAACTATGTGCTATATCCTTAGCTAAACGATTATCGCGAAATATGATACGCTAACTTATACGATCAAAATAATAACGAATACAGCAGTACGGGCAGCCTAGAGTTCCGATTGGTCCTTTTCCCACCTGGTCCTGCCTGTAAAGTCCAGAACGCCAATCTCAGCCTCCGTGATACGAATCATATATTTCAAATATACTTGGTTTATACACAAACACAATCAGACCACATCACACCATAAAATAGAAAATAACATTTGATCTAGCCAAAAGTGGCTGTGATTGTGAGAAACTGTGACTAATAGATTGAGAATAACTTGGGGATAGTCAATCATATAACAGTAACTAAGAGGTCAAATAAAAGAAATATGAGTATACATATAATATAGTTACTTAATATTAATACAAAAAGAATATTCGTTTAATATTAGTGCATAAGTAATTCTTAACGGTCAGCATTAATTTATTCTCATCCGGATACAACACTATGGTTTCCATAATTTGACCTCATATTATAAACTTTAGGAGTCTTAGTAGCTGAATACGAGTAAGTTTAGCCTAGCTTTATTATATTACAAACTATCCGTCATTACGCTTTGAATTTCGCTCGAAGATTCAGTGGCTACTATCTTAAATTTGAATGGTTCGTCAGCATATTATATTTTGTGTATTGTACTTTTCCATAAGCAATTGATTTACAATAACTGTTTTCCGAATGACTAACTAAAGAGTTGGATTAGTCAAGATCGAATTAATAATCATTAAAGCGCTTTCTCGTATATTATACACCTATCATAAGTATAAAGCCCACCCCAACTACTTTGATTTTGTTAACCAAATTGAATCACTAGAGCTTATACTAAGAATTTAGGTCGAATTGAAACAATGATTTGCAAAACTATTGAATAGTTAAAAAAAAGGTAAATCTGCACCAAGTGAAGTTTTCAACTGTTTTTCAGTTTTGTTATCTCATACCAAAAAGACAAATCTTATTAATCAATAGATTGGAAGGTTAACAACAGGTGGAGTAAAACTGTATCAGAAGTGAGATATTTATCACTATTAGTCAAGGATGATGGTTGAATTATCCAATATGGATTGACTAAAGTTAGGAATGTCAACTACCCAAACGGTTACGAGTGGATAGACATAGGGGAGAAAACACTGTCTCACAGTAACATAGTTTCTTAAATTTGTAATAAATTTTCAAATCAAATGTTTAATGTGACTTATATATGTGACTATCGGTAATTATAAAAAAGAATCGACTGTTGAATTATCAGGTGAATGGTGGCTAGCTGGGGGATCCAGGATGGGCGTTTGGTCCTACCTGGGACACATCGTTTAGATGTGCAAGGAAAATAACTAATTAGAATACCGTTTAAAGATCCCCATCATATTAAAAGACTAGTATTTGAACGAAGAATATTCTTCTCGATAAATTCTCTTCAGGTTCTACAATTATATATCCAAATTAATAATCCGAAAAATGGCCAGGTTGAGGGCAAAGTATTATTATTATTACTATTGGTTAAACATCATTATTAATCTCCCTTATACATGGTTCATTCACTCCGCATTCATCCCTCCTCATCATGTCTTACTTAATTGATCGAATTGTAAATGCACTATTATTTATCTCTCACCCTATTTGACCCATATTTATTCTGATTATGGATCTTAAAATTTCACCTAACACGTACATACAGTTGGAACTCATAATTATTCATTTCAAGGAAATCTAAGAAGGACGGCTTATTGCAATATTTCCACAGTTGAAAATTAGGTGGTATAAATGTTTGGACAAACCACCTCAGTCTGTGTACATATAGCAAAATGTATTCAAAGCATTACTTTGTAAACAAAAATCATGAATTACATTCTGACAGTGAATAAACAATCTAACATTTGATTTCCAATTTGACATACAACTTTCCGAGTAAGAATTTTATTTTACTTTAGCTTATTCTCTACTAGTTCTTTAGTAATATTTATATCTTTGGTGTTTTTATTTGATTCGCTATTTACTGACAACAACGTCATTGATGTATACCTATATAAAATGTAGATAGTTTGAACTGATAATCGATATTCTAAATTTTGCTTTTAACTTTAAAACTAGACCACATAAAATGGTTAAATTAGAATATCTTAAACGAAAGCCAAATGTTTTCTTCTGAAAACCCAAAAGAAATAGGGACCAACCGAATTCCTTCAAGCATTGCCATACTATCCAATCAAAAATATCATATTCATTTCTAACAGTATCTGAAATATGTGATATATTCTGGCATATAGATAAATATGTAATTACA